TGTTTGCTCTAACCGGGGTTGTGATTGTTTGAAAAATATTCTCTATGGAATCCCGATGACTATAAACTGGTGCATAGCCAACGTGGCACGCGTTACCATGACAACAGTATTGAGAGGATTCTTTAGTCAGTTCTATGTAAACTTCAATCTCCTACCGTGATTCCTGCACACACAAGACGGGGTGGTACTGAGCCACAGGGGTAACGGACACAATAGTCCTTTCATTACCCACGTCTCTGTTAGACCATAACAACACAACACAAAGGTGACAAGATCAAATGAAATCAGGAATTCAATTACAGTACCAATAGTTGTTAAGTCTGGGTGCCTGGTAACCTGTATTCGCGTCAATACATCATCAGAAGGGACGTAGTTTATCCGTGTTTCGACACGTTTAATCGAGTTAATGTCTGTTTTGTCAGACACATCACTTCAAACCTACATTTCTAATGAGAAACATATCACATTTAAGTTACAGAAGTGAAAATGTCATTTTTCTCAATCTCAAAAATCGCAGTCTTTCACACTAAAGTTTATAGCAAACTTTGTTGAAATACTGTTTTTATTCTGAGATTCAGTGTTCAAAACATCCTGGACACCAATATAACCTTTCATTATTTGTTAGTTTGTTACTCATTACTGATGATGAGTTTACTGGGTGCAGTAGTACAGCAGGAAGGGCAACCATGAGCAGGTATATTATTACACGACCTCTCCGTTCTTTATACGAAACTATTCATGGTGAAGTAAATGTGTTTTACGGTTTGAGAAGACGCTGTTGGACTCCCCAGACGTCTCGCCTGTGTCTATAACGGTCTCCCTTGTGCTCGCAAATAGTTCTTGTGGCTAAACGAATGTCAGTATGCGGGTGTTGAGAATGCTGAGCTATATGTCTTGTTACAGCTTAGTGGTGTTCCGAGTCCCCCAGATGCCGATTTAGCCAGTAGTCGTTACACTGGACCTTCACATTGGAGAAATATCTATTATATAGCAAATATCAACCTGTGCCGCTTCAGCAGATGAGCGAGATGTCACGTCACTTTCTCTGTTGTTTAAAACCGCACTCACGAATACGATGACATGTGTCAACCTATTAATTTTAAGCCGTGTCTTCATTTGAAGGAAACAGGAATGGGTTGATGGAGATCAGTGCTACCCAGGATCTTCACGGGTCGTCAAGTTACCGAGGACATTAACACTTCCTCCTAACAATCTGTCACTCAGTTATGTCTTTGCTATGTCCAAAGAGATGTTCCTCTCTCTTTCCAGTGCGTGTTATATAAATAAACTAGGACATACACATACAAAAGGCGGCATTAAATTAAGACACAAGATAGGATTTCCTGAGTTTGTATTGCCCATGTCTATTTTCATCATCTAACTGAAATATTTCGTCCGCACATTGATTTTAATCAAATCCCCATTGGCGTCGTGAACGCCTACATCATCCATCTTGCGCTACTGCTAATAACACAATGGCTACAGAACGGTATTTATATCCAGTTTGTATTTTTCAAACAATTTTATTGATTCCTCTTGATAACATTAAATACTTTGGGGTAGAGCTAAAACAGCATCTGACAAAAAGTTCCATATTCCAGAGAGCTCTCATGAGGAAAATTCTAATTAAACATTTGTACCTTTGGGGTGCGTTTGCGACTGTATCCACACACCCAACTGCAATTACCACTAGAATGGGAAGACGACGGTAGCTTTGGCTCATCTGACGCACGACTGAACCAGGCTCAGATTGGAAAGTAAAGTGCAGAATTGTGTCCCTTTCTTGTGCCAGGATTTCGCTATGGCGGGTTGGAATACTGCATGTGTAACGATTTATCGCCGGTACTTTACGTCAGTAGCGAGCATCTACGACATCTACATATTCCACTGACCTGAGCTGCTAAACGTCGCTATGCAAATCTCCTGATGTGTAAGATCTACCACCATCCGCTGATTATGTGTTCTAATATCCAGATCATTCCCAAGAAAGAGGATGGTTTTAACATGTGTTATATTTGGGAATTACACTTTCTCTTTAATTGTCATGAGTTGAGTCCAATCGAGGATTCGAACCTACACCTTTTAGAGTATGGTTTTGGCAGCAATATGTTCGTTTTGTTGTGTGTTCACCGAAGCGGTATCCGTCCTTGACCTTCATCAGTTTGGCCTTGAAACAACTGAAATATTGCTGTCACTAATACTGCAAAATTGATATGTCTCTTTTGCTGAAACAATCCATCAATTACATCATTTCCATATCAGACCTATTGAATAGAATCGCTACAAGTAAATGGTAAGTACGTATACACTATGGATAAAAGGAACCTAGTACCTGATCCATGTTACACACTAAGGTATCATTGATTCACATGAATGGAGGTTTACGAGCTGCAATAAAGATCTAACGACCGTAATGTGTTTCCACTGCATGCCGATACTGAAAATAATGATTGGTCGTTGGACAGTTTACTCTGAAATTATCGGCAAATCTCAGACAGGGTTCTTTGAAAATAACATTGTTTGTTTTTTGACAGCTATGGGTCTGTCATAAAGTAGTCATGACCAGAGTGTTAACGGTTTTACAACCACAAAGAATAATTTAATATCACAGCTGACCCTCCACGAAACTGCTTGCTAGGTAAACAACTAGATCGAATGTTCAGTGCAGTAAGTTCTAACTCATGTTAGTGGGTTAAGCGCGTCCTCTGTGCGGCAGCAACATCCCCACTTCCCTGTATGAAGCAAAAGTTTGAATTGTCGATGTCATTTGCAGTGCCACTTCTGGGATACTGCTCCAGAAGCGTAGACGACATATACTCAACCATTATTTTCTATGGCTCATTTGTCGATTAATTAATCTAAATAATGATCTAAATTCACCATGTGGTTAATGCTACCGGGGAGGTTACCCTCCCTGCTCCCATTAATGTTTTTGTGGATGAGTGTAATTTGGGATCACCATTGATTCATTAAAAGCATTTTAATTCAAAATTTCAACATTAAGGGAAAGTATTTGTTCGAACACCTGGTTATGTCCAACCTGAAATTTCTGCATTGTTAGTTCTGGATTCGATTTTTCACAGACCACTGATGCGTGTGACAACCAACAAAATTTAAAGATAGTGCAGGCAAACTGTGTCGGGTTCTACCGGGATACCAGGACATATCTACACTTTTCGCGACCGCCTGTACTTATTCTGATCTTCAGATATCCAAATCACATAATTTGCAAATTGTTTACTTTCATGTTTAATATAATCACTTTCGACATTGCGGATAATCGTCTTTTGTTATTTATTTGGATGTTTTACTTCTAGAAATTAAAACTTTATCAAGTTAAATGTTGTATCATATTGTGACTACGATTCGGACATATTCTCCCTATGTTCTTGGTACCCCGTGGTAACTTTGAATTTGCAGTAAAAGACATTGTGTCAGTATGATGTCTTGATCTGAGCTGAGAAGCCACATTAATGTCATATTACTTCTCAGATACGTTGAGGCGTAACGGTCTGTATCGATTACGAATAAACATGCAAGGGCGAATGCGAATAAGGGGTTTTGTCTTGTGCACTGAACCTGCCAAAGTGTAAAGTAGAACTAATGACAGAAAAGGAAAGCAAGATGTTGCTAATGTGAAATTAAGGAAAAGGTTGGGGTTTTTTTTCATCTTCACGAGAAAGGTCCTTGACTGAAGATGATGTATCGTGCATTATCTGTACCAGCATCTCTGAAGAAAGTCGTCAGGGGATTAAACACTTGCTCGTGTTGTCATATAGCAAACTGCTTCCTAAACACCTGTACAGTCAGGTGCAAGGCAGCATATCTCGTTTCGGGAACACATGGTGATATCACCATAATTATCTATTCCCTATTTGAGTATTGTTGTCACAGGGGCGACATGTGTGAGTAGATGTAAGGATATGACACAGGTAAGCTAGGTTAGGTTAAGTGTTTCACAATTAACATTATATCTCATGTGTCGCCTTCCCTTGGGTGAATTGGCCCGATCCCGACAAACATGTAGGAAGCGTGAGATTACAATGAACGTCCACCTTAAAAACGATTTACTATACAGTTCATTAGACATACTGTCGTCAAACATATACTGAGGGAAACAAATAACGGAACATCACTTCATGACAGTGTTCCTATATTTATTTGTCAGATTTCCTTCCACAGCGCTATTCAAAACTAGTGCTGAAAACTGGAACATATTAAAGGAATAATGTATATGTTTCCCTCGGTATATTTTCAAATTAGCCGTCTGAACGCATCAGTGTTAGGATCGATAGTTTTGCAAGCTATGTGACCAGACCAGACAATCCAGTGACCGACGTCGAGATACAGCATCACCCAAGTCAGTGAGTCTGATCACCAAGTTCATGTATAACAAACATGGGTTGCTGAAGTCCAACGGAAACCAGGATCTTGACGTTGTAGGACTATTATTTATCCTGCTTCAGCATGAAGGTATCATCTGTAGCGAGCAGTCGGGATAACAAAGCTGAATTGAACAGTGCGTCATACGTTTCACCCATCACATTTCACGATACCAGCCTGTCGTTGAGGAATCATATTTGGTTGCTGGAGATGTCGGTGTTGTCGCTGTCGCTGCTTATGGCGCCAACATCACGCAATACTTATACGTGTATATGTTATCTTTATCACTGCATCAACTTCTTACAATAAAAACTCTGTCATAGGTCATGTGTTCTGTGACCCGTGCAGGTCCGGGTTAGAATGATCATTCAGTAACCCATGCTTGTCGTCAGAGGCGACTAACGGGATCGGGTGGTCAGGCTCGCTGGTTTGGTTGACACATGTCATCACATCCCAATTGCGCAGATCGATGCTCATGCTGTTGATCACTTGATTGTCTGGTCCAGACTCAATTATGTACAGACCGCCACCATACAGCTGGAATATTGCTGAGTGCGGCGTAAAACTAAACTCACTCACTCACTCTTACAATAATATCATACTCAATGTCATTGCAGATTTCCCTTCAAGATAACATGGCTGAAATGAAACTCCATCAGCTGTTAAGGTAAGAACTACATGTATTTTAAAACTCATTTTCTAAGGTGTATTCTTTACAAGTCTTGCCATAAATAACTGGTCGGCTACATATAATTCGTATTCCAGTTAGCGAGATACTTTGATTGATCTATAGCTATGAATTGATAGCAAGATGAGGATGAAGATGATTACTGAGTAATGTTTTTACTACTAAAATGTCGATGAGTAATCATGTCTGCCATTTAAACGTAGAAATATGTCTGACTTAATGACGACAACCCTTTTACTCCATTGACATGGGTATTAGTGTCTACAGAAATACGTCCCTCGCTGACTGAGTTGTGGACTTGAACCAGGAGAAGGATTAAAAGATGACAGGGGATAACTACCCTTTCAATGCACTGGATGAGTTATATATAAAAGAAATTATGTCGGATCTAAAAAAAGAAGAAGTACCAATGAAAAGTCCTTGCCTCAAGATGTTTTAGGCATAAGTCCGTATTGCTCTGTCTCCGTATCTCAGGTTGTCGATCACTGGATTGTCTGGTCCAGACTCGATTGTTTACAGAACCCGTGGTACAGCTGTAATACTACTGATTGCAGTAATTCTAACGCATGCTCATGACAGACTCAGAATTGTAAATCGACTCTGACAGATTTCTTATTGATGTGCAATGGTTGTTTTATTTACCGCATCCACTGAGAACATCTGCTTTGGTCAAAGATTTGTTCATCTTCAAGGATTAGCTGATTGCCTTCTGGAACACCTCCAAAACCAGCTCTTTCAGCTTAACCATAATTAGTGTCGATAGTATTGTTGGACATACCCAAACATGGAAGATTTTCAGTTTCGATACGAGGAAACAGGTATTCATGTTTATATCGGCATGGGCAACATCAGTGACAATTTTTGAAAGTTTTGCTTTCCTTGTAAACATCCAGCATTTATAGAAAACGATCTGGATTTTTTACAAGTTTAACTGGCTTTTATGACAGCTTATAATAGTTTTGCCGTAGAGACAAATCTTTTTGATGTTTTTTCTTTTACAGCATTGAAAAGGTTATGTTATAACTATGTTAAAACGTTAAACTGAAACGACTTTTGCAACCTTACCTCTTGCAAAGGAAAGCGTTCACTTCCCTTGCGGAAAGATAGTCTGCCCGATGACTGGGTATGTTGTAGTCTGGCGGTACATAATACTCCGATATCATGTGCTTTAATGTGAGAAGGTCATAATGTTGATAAAATCTGAACAGTGCAAAGTGTCAAGCAAATACAATTCGATCATCTGATCATGAGCAATCATTCGTTACTTTCACTTTCCTCAAGGGTTTGCTATAAATGTGTTCTGGTAGAAAAGGGTAAACTATGTGCATTGATTTCTAGGATAAAGTCTGTGAAGGGGTGTTCACGGATTTCAATTTAAAAAAAAATAAAATTCTTAAGTTGTTATGTTTTATCTTAATTAGGAGAACATGTTGGTTCCTGGATTTGCATGGTAGCTCTGAAAGAAATAATTGCATGGTCTCGAAGTCAGGGTGTTTACAGATACTTTACGGACACTGAGACCATGAAGACACGGCCAGAAAATATGTTGTACGTTAACACATAAATTCATAAAACACAGTGAAATATTTGCAAATTATGTGAATTTGTTACGGATGGAAAATTAATGACTTGAATCTGTCAGTAATCTTGCATTGTGGGCCTTAGCAGATTGAATATAAGGACCATATGTAACCTAAGCGCATTATGCTGTATACGTTCACCGTGTTAAACTATTGTGAACTCCTGGAAATACATCCCGTAGAAGTCCCGATAAACCAGGCGATCTAATCTTCTAATTAACGAATCCTTTGTTAACAGCAGGGGCGGTGGGGTAGCCTAATGGTTAAAGCGTTGGCTCGTCACGCCGAAGACCCGGGTTCGAATCCATTTCTGGTGTTCCCCGTCGAGATGTTGCTGGAATATTGCTAAAAGTGGCGTAAAACCAAACTCAGTCAGTCAGTCAGTTGTTAACAGCAATGTCACTAAAGCCATATATAGCATTGCTGTAGCCATGCCGAATGGAATTGTAAGTTACAGAATATTTAGGTATGCTTGTAATGCTAGGCATGTGAGCTGGTATATAGTTAGGACGATTAGGCGTACCTGGTTAATATACAGATCAGCCGTTAAGTGCTGAGCTTTGCGTTCTCCTTGAACATGGTAACGAATCTACTTCAGTTAGTCAATGCGCCATTTGGAGTTATAGTACAAAGCCGCTATTACCGGATTACCTGGGCCAAGCTCGATTGTCCACAGGCTTCTCTCTAAAGGCGTCCGTATTGCCGTTCATGGCACTATACGACACATGCAAATCGTAGGAGCGGCGAGTTCTTCTGAAAACGACAGGGCATGCAGCACAGCGTGTCATCATTGTTGTTATTGGATCTTTATATAGCGCACATATCCACTCACTAGTGCATGCTCAAGGTACTGGTATTTTCCCCTCGATCATTGGATGTCAACCTCAACGGCACATCTTATTATAAATCTCAACTCCCTGAGGAATGTACATCTCTCGCTGCCACAAGGCGCACCGAGTTATTGCGACTTTCCCATCCTTACGAGGCACCCATTCACAGCTGGGTGGACTTGGACACATAATCACAGTACTTTGTCCAAGTTTCCTGCAGTTGCTGTACCTGCAACTAGGTGTTTTCACGTAGTCACGTATGACCTCCTCGTATAGACCCGGGTTAAATTGGTCTTCAGGTACTCATGCTTTTGTAAGAGACGACTAAAGGGATCGGGTGGACAGGCTCACTGACTTGTTTGACTTATGTTATCGTATCCCTATTGCGTAGATCGTATCTCATGATACTGATCACTGGATTATCTGGCCCAGACTCGATTAATTACTGACCATTTAGCTGGAATATTGCTAAGTGCGGCTTTGAATAATAAACTAAACAAACCCCAATGCTACGTTTCCACCTAATTCATTCCGCTGACAGCCATGTTACAACAACAAAGTCCCATTATTTCCAAAACACTGCACATTGTCATCCAACTGGATTTGAAAAAAAATTGTTGTCAAAGACAAACTCATTACTGACATTATGTAGCTTCTGTTCAGTGTATAACTTGGCTACGCAAAGTGTGTAGACTTTGTTCTTCACAGCGCTGCAGCGTTTAAACTGTCACCTGCATACTCCAACTTGCGAAAGCAGATATTTTTTGTCAAAGTGTCTAACAGGAGAACCCTTTTGCATGGACATGAGTGAAGTTGGGAAATCGCCTTTGTTATCGGGTCCTTTGTATCTGAATAATTAACTGGTATAAATCTGATGATGTATCAAAGCTGTTGTTGTTCAGATGAGATCCGTAAAGTGTATTGATCATCTTCGTTATGAGTTCAGTCCTGGTAGCACCTTCTTGCACTTGAATGACAGTTGTATGACGAGCAATTCTGCAGATAAAACCGGACATGCTCAACCATTTCGCGATCTCCTGTGACATCACTCATTTTCAGAGATTTTTTCAACATAATCTGTTGCAATGGTTTTACGATTAACGCTCATACGAAATTGCCTTTTATTGTCAACAGACCTAAAAACATGATATTCTTACTGACAGCGAAATGGCACGTGGTATGTTGTTCACAGATGTGTCCCAGACAGTTTTCATGCCCGATTGAAAGCCATTGCCTGGCTGTCAATTTTATTGTGAAATGATAGATCACAAAATTAGACCATGGTTTCAAAATGTAGGACAGGACTTAATGCCAGCAACAGCAGATACGTATTTGTCCTTTACAATTAGACTCCTGTAGAAAGGCGGTAGACTAGTGAGCGCAATTGTGAAATAACTTATCAGCTGTCTGTACACCGAAGTATAAATAGAAAACGACCTGTCAGTGTTGGTCTGTAGCCAGTTACAGGAAAATTACAACACTATGCAACACTATGATTGAAATGTGGGTATTGAACCTGTTCCATGGACGCAGTCAACGTGCAACAGAGGTGTCACATTGCGTCCTATTCTTACACTTGACTCTGACTCGACATGACGTTAATGACACACTGTTGCCAATGCGTTTAAAACACCACTTTCTTGTTGGAGCAAAACACTTATCTTATGAATGTTAGGTATTGAGATTCAGTATACACTTGGGGTTTGAGTCACATGTTGGGGGACTTTAAATATCATTTAACAATCGTTAGAAAAAGGTCTGTATGACCGAGTTACCACGTGGACTGTGGTTTCAGCATTACGTTTGTGCATCATGTGAGCTGAATTTCCGGAGCTGGGTAACGTCATGATTTGTGAAAAAAGACCTTCAGTCTTTCAGAGTTAATGAGAAATTTCTGAAACGACACATGGCTCAAAGAATCTAACAACAGGTGCAGCTTGCTCATCGGAAGCACGTTTTAGTCCCTAATTCCGACATAGAAAGACTCACATTGGAACTATAAATACACTTCATTAAAGGAACAACCGATGGGCCTCATGTGAAAACACTAACTTGAACTAGTAGCACAGCTGAGTACTTTGGTTAGGATTGTGAAGAGACCAGACTCTGAGAAGGAGTCACACTGTTTCACTTAACTCAGTTTTAAATAGGAGTTCAGTTTCATCATAGACGGTGACTGTCTAGTGGGTCCGGGGTGATCCTGGTCATAGATGCTTTCCATGTTGAAACCCAAACGGCTTGGGCGAAACGTTGGCTCGGGTGAAACTTACAGGCTTCGGTGAACATGTTATCAATGGCGGCATGTTAGAACATTAAGCTTAGTAATGTCGTCAATAGGAACAGGATAGAACATCAAGGTTGGGATTGGCATCAGTAGGAACAGGCTAAAACATCAAGGTTGGTATTGGCATCAGTAGGAACAGGCTAGAACATCAAGGTTTGTATTGGCATCAGTAGGAACAGGTTAGAACATCAAGGTTAGTAATGGCATCAATAGGAACAGACTAGAACATCAAGGTTAGTAATGGCATCAATAGTAACAGGCTAGAACATTAAGGTTAGTAATGGT